AGATAGATAGATAGATAGATAGATAGATATATAGATCTATTGTACTTGAGAGTCCTCTATACATAAGCTTTTAAAGGTAGAAAGTGCCTCAGATTTCGAATTAATGAGCCCCTGTAGTAGAGGATAATGAGCTTGTTCTGTCTGAGCACAGATGCATTGTGTTGGAAAAGAAACACTTTGACTGAAGAAGGCTCTGTTTTTGAGAGTCTGATGTTCAAGGCTGACGGAACATGCCATCCTTTGTCTCTAATGGACAAACAAATCATTAGAGGATGTGTGGCCTAAAATGCATGAGGCTGTTTTAAATGATGAAGTAAAATGCAATTGTCTTCCTTTCCCTCTGTCCTTTGTGTTGCGTTTTCTCTCAGATTGCGACATACAGGGAGCGAGGAATCCATGCCAACCCAGAAGGAACAGAAAAAAACCCCTCTCCATCAAACCACATTCAGTCTCTTCACGTCAGCAGACAGGTACGTTTTGCATTAAAGACTGTTTTTAAAATGCCTCAGAGTTTAGTACTTTTAAGCATTGACGTCATTTGTTTTTTTTTCCGTTTTGCGCAATTTAGTAGTCACTTTAGTGGCAGTCTTGTTACTTATCAGACACCTGTACTGAGCACTGTTTGTACTGAGCCTGTGTGAGGTGACTGACAATAAAGAAAGAGCCAGCTGCAATCTTGACTCTGTCCAGTGATTCACTGACACCCTGCATGAACTTGGCAGAAATTCTAACCTTTCTGGGGTAAACAGTGAATTATTTATATTTGTTCATTTGCCTTGTTGTATCTCAGATAACAAAAAACCTGATGCATTACAAAGATCTCAGAGAAACTGTCAAGGATGATTTAAATACATGGCTTGAAAAATCTAAAATACATTTCTAAACCATATATCCACATAATAAGCAGCTTTTGAATTCAAAATCCCTTTTGCTTGAAGGTTAATAAACATAAGAGCAGAAACACAAATACTTATTGTTTTAATGCAATGTTTTGGTTATTCAAGCATCGGATTGGTTAAAAGTTACAATTATTTTGCTATTTGGCTAATATTTTATGCAACTACTGAGAAGAAAAAATTCTTCAGATGCACTAAAAAATGCAAGAAAATTCATTATAGAAAAATTTATTTGATTTATTATGGTAAAAAAATAACAGTAATGCTTTTAAATGGATCCATGAATAGTCGAAAAATTATTATTTTCCTCTCAACTTAAATACTGTCATTTGCTCAATAAAACTCGTGATTACGTATAAAATCATATAGCCTTTGCCATATTCTTCACCCGTATATTTTTTCGTACTGGGCTGGAAGTAAACATAGGAAGGTTAATTTGACCATAGTTGTTTTTTATCGTAATGCATTTGACCGGTGTAAATTTAGACAATGCCACACTGCATCACTGCCTTACAAACATTTGGTTGGTTTGGGATCCACTGTTTACTATATTAGCTAAGCCTGACCCCATTAGTAAAAGCTATGGTGAAATCAAAATCAAATAAGAGGAAATAGACTGTTAAAAGACAGTGAAGTATCTTTCAGTCTATGTAATTCATCGTTCTAATATGATGTCAGAGGGAAAAAAAATACAACATCAAAGAGCAGAAATAATTAAAAAGGAAAAAAATTGAATTCTAAAAACAACTCTAGGAAAAAAGTAATAGGTGGAAAACTCTCTTTTTTCACATCTTGGAAATTTGCAGACATTTTATTGCTATATGGTCCAATAATCGCTGTGCGATTGTTTAGAAATATAATCAAGACAAGTTTCATGTAAAATGATTTAAATGACATTTTATCAACATTTTCCTTTTTAGGTTTGTCAACAAGATTAAGCACTTTTATAAAGTCTCAATTTCATAAGACTATTAAATCCCCTTAGGTCAATGTGAAATGATCTTGCACACATGTTACAAAGATGTAGAACTCAACATTTCCTCTCTGATACATAACCTACCCTAAAAATACAATATCAAAAAGAAGCTTACCTAACCTAACCTAACCTAACCTAACCTAACCTAACCTAACCTAACCTAACCTAACCTAACCTAACCTAACCTAACCTAACCTAACCTAACCTAACCTA